TTAACTTGAAATTTTAGCTTTGCTAGTGATATTACAACAGAAAAAGAAAGATATATAGTATAGTCTCTTAAACTACATAAAAGTTCAAGCATACAAATCAAGGAATTTTTATAGGACTGTGGGAAGAAAGATCCTGTAGATGGATTTCGCTCTGCATTTCATCCTGCAAGTAGGGCACTTCTTCTGAACAGCTAGTGCTTTTTTAATGCAGTTCTTGCAGAAAATATGACCACATTTTGTTGATGTTGCGTCTTGTAACTCATCCATACAAATTGGGCAACGAAACGCAGGTGCCGCTAGTGGTGGCACGGTCTGGGACAATCCAGAAACTTGGGCTGGTGGTTCCGTCTGAGAAAATCCAGGGAATTGGGGTGGTGGCATAGTTTGACACAATCCGGGTAATTGGGGTGATGACACAGGCTGGGACAACAATCCATGGAATTGGAGCACACTCCTAGCCTGCCAAACCAAATAACATTGGTTAGAGTTTAAGTTTTTAATGGTTCCTAGACGTTTCTAAGTACTTGACAACAAAGTTGAAAGATAGCTAAATTGAGGTTACAGGAAATCGAATATATAGTGAATAACAACGTGAACCTGATTGACGATATTTATGTTTTCCCTTATTGCATCAGTATTTCTCCTAGCTTTCTTCCTGGCCTGCTAAGAGGGAGATCATTTTTAAAGACAATCAGATACTCGAAGAACACGAGCCAAATCATTAACATTGTGTCAAGTGTCATACTTGGTCAAACATGCTGGGCGAGATTATAGCAATATCATCATCAATGACCTCAACATCTTGTGTAGTTTGATGTTGTCTAGTCAGTCCATACACTTCAGCTTGAAAATTAAGAGGATGACAAGGAAAGTACATGCGATGGAGAGGCATATTGTTCTGAATCGGAGGTGGATAGTTGAGATCAGAGTGCCGAAAGTAAATTCGCTCGGCTTCCCACAAATCATCTTCCAGACGATCTGTATTCCCCAGTAAATCCATAGGTCTCCGTTGTCCAGAAACACCTTGTTGTCGTCTTAGTTCTCCACAAAAATCATGTTGTTGTCAAAATTCTCCTGTAAATTCATGTTGTGTACTCAAAGACACCTAAAATTCCTGGTTACAAACAAGAAATTAAGGCATGCTGAGAAAAAAAAAACATATTCTGAGTATAATACAACCAAATCTATATCTTATTAATCCCATAGCAGATATCAAACCAACCAGGTAAACTTACGAAATTCCATTGCAAGTATAGTATCATATTTCATAAAGCTATGAAGAATTGTGCAATTTCAAATAACTAACTGAATATTGCATTCCCTGTCCTGTGATGATGAGCAATTGTTTAATAAGAGTTCCGTACTTTAAGCAACTAAAGGCCTCAAGTGAATCTGTGAATTGATTTAATCGCTTCTTCAAGTAAACCAAGAGCCTTTATCCATAAACAACTGCAAGCTATAGATGACGGTTTTATACTGATTCTCAAGAAAAAGGAGAAAAATTGATGGTTTTATGCTGCAGTCGCAAATTTATTCATAGCAGGTATAAAATAAAAAACAAATTTAGAGTATAATATAACTAAAATCAAGAGATACTAAAATAACAGGAGAAATTTCTTCAGATTCCATTATCCTGAGAGCGAACTGATCATATATATATATATATGCATGTTCTAGCCGGAGGTAACATGACGATTTAGAATTAACAGCGCTTGATTGAGTCCTAAGAAACCGTACAGTAGCGTACTGCTTAGCAGCATACATAAACACACGCAAGCCAGTCCAAACAGAAAATTGCATCTCCATAATCATAAAAGAATGCAGAAGTAATAAAGATTGCTTTTTTGTTTGCCGATTCTTCTTGATCATAGAAATCACACCATGAAACATCGTTTTGAACTTGAAAATCATAGTTTTGAAGATATCCTTTACCACATTAAAAAATTAATAAAGGCCTAAGCTAGCAGCAAGCCCCAGTATATAAACCCTACTAATTAATCCCATGGCAGCCAAAAACAAAACATGTAAATTAAGAAGATAAACAAAAATAATGAAGATGGATGATACCTGAGGGTGCAGCTGCTGGACAAACATATTTTGAAAGAAGGGAGACATCATTGACAATGGTTTTTATGCCTCCTGCGAAGGATCAATTTATAGCAAACAAAAACTCTCCGAGCTTTATGACTATTTGGGAAAGAGACTGTGTGCTTCCTTTTTTGTACATTAGTCCATTATATTTTAAGAAAAACTGATCAGCTCGTTCATCGGGAGGTATCTGTACTCTTGAAATAGAATATATATTTTATTTTTTTTTAAGAAGAAATACATGTCACCGTGCCCAGTTGGGTAATATGGGTTTTCTTATTTAATTTTCATGGGCTAAATTTTTCTATACCAAGTACCTTGGAATCAGTGTCCGAACATGTTAACTAGATACATGAATGAATAAATTAAAAAAAAAATAGAAAGTATATGTATTAATTTAAAATACAATGAATTTATTAGAAAAATAAAAAATATCATTTACACGTATTTTTACTTTAAACAGTAAAAAATAATATATCTTATCCTCGGAGTACTATAGCGAGGAAAAGGTGATGCATATAAAATTCACAAGAATGGTTATAAATATGCCAATGAGAAGAAGATTAGCCAACAAATTACCTAGAGCTGGAAAATGGAACGTGTCATCATGCCAGCTCATATTCTACTGCTTTTTGGCCCAAGATAAGCCCAGGCCCATTTCCTTGTGAGTTCGTACCATATAGTGCTGGTCCAGGTGTCGGCCCGTTGCAATTAATTCTTATGATATTTTTAATGACTTATTTCTTTTAATTAAATGGAAGAAAGGAATAAGAAAATAAAAGAAAGTTAATTACCTCTTTTATTATTGAAAATCTATACATGTACTTGCATTATTAATGGAAATTTTTATCCCTAGCTCATTTTTTGTCTTATCTTTCCTATTTTTATTATTTCTATATTTTTTTGTTACATACAAGATACGTTATCTTAAATATTAATATTGTATTAATATAACAGGAGTGCTTTCTAATTCAACGGACCAAGTTGAGAATGACACAAATAACTTCTAAATTTATTTATTTTTTTTAAGTATTTTAAAAAAAAATTAAAATTTTTTATTTTTTATTTATTTTAAATTAATATATTTTGGTATTTTTAGATTATTTTGATGTGTTAATGTCAAAAATATTTTTTAAAAAATAAAAAAATATCATTTTAATATATTTTCAAGTAAAAAATATTTTAAAAATAACTATAATTATATTTTCTAACATGCTAACACTAATTGTAATCAATAGTGCTCTAATTAATTCGGGTATGAAACATATATATATAAATTGCAAGATTAAATGATGCAAAAAAAAAACTAAAAATTTTAATAATCCAATTAAGCGCCTTTTTTTTCTTTCTTTTTTGCTCTTTCTGTAATTGAAAAATATAATTAGAATAAGATTCTGCAATTTTCTTTCCAAAACAAATGAATAAATAAAGAGCCTAGTTGAACAAATAAAATATCCACACACGTGTACAATGATTTATATCTACAAGTCTACTCACTTCATTATTCATTGTTTTCAAAACCATAAGGTTCATTGGCCTTGGATCATCACATAGCAATACTATTTTGTTTCTTGCTTCTTCTTCTTCTTCTTCCCCCCTTTCTATATTTCCAACATTTTCTACATCCATTTAAATATTTTAATTACCAAAACGCCTTTTTACTTGCGTCATTTCCCTCCATATCAATTTTTCTAAATCAAATTAGAATTGAAATCATCTTCTTTTCTTAAAAAAAGAAGAGAGGAGAATGATTTTTAAGTTTTGTTTGTTTGGTATAAAATATTTTTATTTAAAATATTTTACATATAAATATTTTTAATGATGATGATGAGATAATAGTGATGATATAGCAATAGTAATTATAAAATAATAATGATAAAAAAGGAGATAATAATACTAGTGATAGTGTTATAAAGATATGGTTGTAATAAAACTACAATGAAGATGAAAAAGATAATTGCAGTGGTGGTGGGTGAGCAGAAAAAGATGATATGATAATGAAGATGATAATAATAATTAAATGATGGTGTATAAAAAAAAGAAGAAGAAGATAGTTGTGATGTAATGATAAAAATATAGGAATTATTAGTGAAATGATGGTGATAATAAAATAGAGATGATGATTAAAATAATAACATATATTATAAGTAGATTATTATTTATAAAAAAATTTACAAGATTTCATGAGCTAAAAATATTTTTCAATAAATAAAATAAATGAATTAAATTTAAAAATTGATTGTGAAATACTTTCCAAGAAATGATTATAAAATAATCTATAAAAACTTTTCTTATAAAATATTTTAAACCAAAGAACGTACCTTGAACCTGTAACTCTCATGCATTGTGAATCTCGCTACTATCTATAGATTCTAGACAGCATAGGCGGTCCAAATGTACTGAAGGATTGAAACAAAGCATAAGATGTTGACATTTAAGAATGGAAAAAAATAAATAAAAGGGAGAGAAGAATAATCAATGCCAAACAGACCGTTACCATGCAATCAGCATAAATAAGATGGTTTGGACTCAACTGATGTTAGCACTCCAAAGGAGAGCTGTATGAAAAATCAAAAAACATATTATCAAAATAGCAATAATTTATTAATTTTGAGTCTTTAAGAGAATAGTTATATAACATGTTAAAATTATTTTTTTCAAAATAAATAGTCATTCTTGTATTTTTTATAAAAAATACAATAAAAGGAAAATATTAACTTTCTTTTTTCTAATTTTTTTATTCCATTTAAAATACAAAATGACTTCTTAAATTATTATTTTTATTTGAGTAGCATAAAAGGAAAAAAAAAGAAGCTAAATTAAACTATTTTAAATGTTATATATTAATAATTTGACTTTTGCCATGAAAATATCCCTTTTGATTTGCAAAAATCTCTTATCCTTCCAATCTTTTCCTTCCTTTTTTTTTTTTTTAAATGCTAATAAACCAAACATATTCTCTCCCTCCCTCCCTATTAAACTGTTTTGCCCTTCGTCTGAACCAGGCACGATGGCCTCTAACGCATGGCGCAAACTCAAAAAAACCCTCAAGTCAAGGCTCTCATTTCTCTCCACCCCCAGGTCCCCCGCCAACCACACAACTGCCACCACCGAAATTCCCCGCGTCACCACCGCTACTCCTCCCCTACTTCCAACAATATCATCATCATCCTCGTTCAGTTCTCGTCTCTCGCGTAGCTTCAGTCTCCACTCTTCTCCAGTAATCATCCCCTCTCTCCCTCTCCTTTTTGCTTTTGTTAGCGTTGACATAATACTATGATTTATTTTTTTAACTGCCCGGTGACCGGAGTTTTTCTCTTTTTACTTGCCGCGTAAAAACTGAGTTTTGTGACTTGGTATTTTTGTGAGTTCGGCATCCATAGCTGAGTTTGAAGTCTGACGACGATGCCCTTGTGTTTCTCTAGTGTTCTAAGTTTTGTTCCTGGTCTGAGTAGGGGTGTTTTGGTAAGAGTGGGTGAAGCTTGCTTAGAAGATCACGTTTCTCATGTGATGCAGTAAATGGACCATTGGAATATCATTGAAGTACCAGCTGCTGGGGGTAGTTGAAATTTGCATTTAATTATTTTGATTGTGGTGCTTGGAAGCTTCACAAAGTCAATGATTTAATTGAATGCGCTGTTTACTAAGATCACAAACCTAACTAAGTAATTAGAGAGTAAATTGTTGTTTTATTTACTGCATGAAAATTAGGAGAGTGTTTACTAAGATCACAAACCTAACTAAGTAATTAGAGAGTAAATTTTTTTTTTATTAACTGCATGAAAATCAGGACAGTGGCACATGGTATTGTTTATGGTTTGGGGTCAAGTGGGGACGTCAAGGTTAAAATGGTTGTCTTTAAGGCTTGACTTTTTGAGAAGCATGCTATTGTTGCTTTTTTGAAGCTTGAAAGGAACCATTTTTGTTTTGTGTACAATAGGAATACATTAATGAAATCGAATATTGTGTTAGCTTTGCAAGTTTTTGGTTGAAAAGTCAGATCAACACAATAATGTCCTGCGTGTTTCATGATTGTCTTTTAAGTCAAAAGTTTAAAGGTAATTTAATGAAGTTATACTTTTATTTCCAAGTGGTTCAGGCTTGAGATGCTTAGCCTAGCTTGCTTTTTGTTAAATCCAGTGATGCTTAATTAATGAGAAACTTGAAATTCATAGTTTAGGTATAGAAGGTCTCCATTGGCTCATAGATGAATGCTTTTATGAGCCTTTTGAATCTTGATTGTGGTGTTGAAATGCCATAAACTTGATTGCCTACTTGGCTTTTGGTTCTGAACGTCTTTAAATAGTCATCAATGTTCTTGACACGGTGAAGGTAGAAGGATATTGTGAAAAAAACAAATAAACAAATTGTTCCTTGGTTAGTTGGATATTACATAATCAAAATTGAGGAACTTGTGCTGATAAAACAAAAATTGGCATTCATTTGATTTGATGGTCTACATTGGCATAATAGAATTCATGCTGTTAAATTTGCTGAGATTTTTACTCTTTAACTTTTCCTATAATTTTGCTCATTATCACAGAAAAAATGTGCCATTTGCTTGACGAGTTTGAAAAAAGGGCAAGGCCAAGCCATCTTTTATGCTGAGTGTTCTCACCCTCTCCACTTCAATTGCATTGCTGACAGTGTCAAGCATGGTAATCTCAGATGCCCTGTTTGCCGCTCCAAATGGAAAGATGTACCTTTTCAAGCGCCAAAAAATGTCCCCAGTTTTCAACGCAGTGGTTCATTGCATTCTTATGTACCTAATGCATCTCCAGTTCATATTGAGCCGGATCACTTCTCAGACGATGAACTAGTCCCAGATGTTTCTCAAGGTCAACCCTCTTCATCTCGACCCCATGCTATAACTGTGAAGACTTTACCAGGGTATCCTGCTGTTTCTGCTTCGGAATCTTTCTCTAAGTTTGGTGTTCTTGTCCGTGTTCTCGCTCCTCCACTTGATAATACTCTACATCATCACCGTGCACCAATTGATATTGTAAATGTGTTGGATGTTAGTGGTAGCATGGCAGGCAAGCTGATACTTCTCAAGCGTGCTGTCAACTTTATCATACAAAACTTAGGCCCTTCAGATCGACTTTCGATTGTGACTTTCTCTTCATCAGCTCGAAGAATCTTACCACTTAGAACAATGTCTGGAAGCGGCCGTGAAGATGCCATAAGTGTTGTAAACTCTCTTTCAGCAACTGGCGGAACTAATATTGTTGCGGGGCTCAGGAAAGGGGTTCGGGTTCTGGAAGAACGGCGTCAACATAATTCAATTGCAAGCATTATCCTTTTATCTGATGGTTGTGATACACAAAGTCACAATACTCATAATAGATTGGAATATCTAAAGTTGTTACCGACTTCAATTTTTCCTAGCAATAATGCATCTGGAGAGGAGTCTCGGCAGCCAACTTTCCCAATTCATACGTTTGGGTTTGGATTGGATCATGATTCTGCTGCAATGCATGCTATATCTGATGAATCCGGCGGCACATTTTCCTTCATTGAGTCCATTGACATTTTACAAGATGCTTTTGCAAGATGCATTGGTGGTCTTACAAGTATTGTGGCTCGGGACGTTCAACTCAAAGTTAGGTCAGCATCACCAGGAGTGCAGATTTTGTCGACCCCTTCTGGGAGACACAAGAATAAAATTTTTGATCAGGGACACCAAGCTACGATTGATATCGGAGATTTATATGCAGAAGAGGAGAAGAATTTTTTAGTGCTCCTCTCAATTCCTGTATTTCCAACTGTTGATGGTGAGGAAATGTTGGAAAACATGCCATTGGTGGATGTTTCAGGCTTTCAGAAAGATTCGGTGTCGACGGATACAGTCGAAGTAGAAGGTGAGAGAGTTGAGATACGACGGCCTCAGTTTTTATCTTCTACTGATCGGGTACCGTGTTTGGAGGTTGATAGGCAAAGAAATCGTTTGCTAGTGACAGAAACTATTGCCAAGACACAAAGGATGGCTGAAATGGGAGATTTAAAGGGTGCACAGGCTCTTCTGGCAGAGCAACTATCCACTCTTCTGTCTACAGCTTCTGCCCAAGCAGGAGATTATCTATGTAATCGGCTAGAAGCTGAGTTGAAAGAAACCAGGAAGAGAATGGAAACCAGGGAATTATATGAACGCTCTGGGCGTGCATATGTTCTTTCGGGAATGAGTTCTCACTCATGGCAAAGGGCTGCAACTAGGGGTCCCTCAATGCCAATCTCGTCAGGTGGGAACTCAGATACGAGGACTACCACTAGCTATGAAACGCCATCTATGACTACCATGGTAACGAAGTCACAAAATTTGAACTTGGCACCTAGAGAGTAGCTTGGGCAACTACAGCAACTTAAACAAATCTTCCAGCTTGATTGATCAACATCCATATGCATTTACAACTAACACGAGCTAGAAACTCTTCAAGTATTTTATAATTTTGATAGCTTAGTGGTAGGTTAATGAAATCAATTTTAAGGATTCGAACTAAAATAGTCTGCTTTTTTGTTTGATTTTCATTTTGTGGATTGCCTCTAAAGTTGTACATGAATATTGAATCACAAGATGTATTACATCACTGGTTTGGTTTGAGGTTTACTGCTTCAAGGTAAAAAGTGAACCGGTGTATGATAAAATATTTTTCTAAATATTTTTAAATCATTTAATTTTAATGAATTTAAATCAAAATAAACAAAAATCTAAGGCATTCACATACAAAACCTAAATGCTTCGGCCTAGCCCATATAAAATAAGGTTAGGCGTGCGGGAGTCTACAAGGCTAATCTCGGGACGGACAACGTGTGATGTTCATTGTTTTTTTTTTTTTTTAAATGACATTTTTTATCTAAAAAATTCATTGTCAACCTTTTTTTCACCCGAATATATATATATATATAAAATTCTTGTAGGTCTCAATAAACTCATTAATAATTTCAAAAAAAATAAAAAACCAATCTGATTTAAAAAATATTATCAAGCCCAATTTTTTCTATCAAGGGTAAAAACACCATGATCGTTGAATTGTGGTCATTCAACCATTTTTTCTCTCCTTTCATGTCTTCTTGTGACCCTCCCTCCTCTCTCTTAAATCTAGGACCAATCATGAACATAATGAAATC